ATAATAATAATAATAATAATAATGATAAATGGAAAGTAAGGTATTCTTCAAAGGGCCCACAAAAACTCCTTAATGTCTCGACCAGAACGCCATGATCATCGCTTGTTTGTGTGGCGTACAGTCGTATAGAGCACAGTCTCCAGATTATACATACTTTACGTACATACATAGGCCTACACAGCCTGTACATATACATACAAACATTGAGCCTGTACATGTCGGAAGGCCACGACGGTTGTTGTCCTCCAAGTTTTCTAAGCAAATCTCCTCCGACTAGAGGACACCACAAGCATTCCCATTTTGCACCCCATTTCCCAAACTGGATGGACTCGTAGTCTCCGCGCCGTTTATGAAGTAGTGGCCTCAGCCAAGGGCCCTGTGCCTGAACCCTGAACAGTTTCTACACCATTAAGCTCGTAAGGAGCATAGCAAGTGGTCTGACCCTTAATGGAGAGGTCCCGCCGTGCCTCCCGCATTTGTTTTGGTGTAAAACGCATTAAACCTGGACCCCTTAAACCCCTGTTTCGGGGACGCAAGCACTGCTGAGGACATTTCTACCATTTCATATTCATGAATGCATGCAGAGAATATTTCCTTCTGAAGGGGAATGCGTGCCGCCTCACTGTGTAAGGGTCAGCTCTATATCTATCTCACTCTGTTTGTGTGTCTGTATTTGTGTGTGTGTGTGTGTGTGTGTGTGTGTGTGTGTGTGTGTGTGTGTGTGTGTGTGTGTGTATGGCAAGGCCGGCAAAGCTATGTGCTTTGTTTGTGGCGTTCGGAATGATGATAATACTGGCATGCAGATCCACATTGTATTCCAAACTGTTTGTCTTCTCAAACCATCTCGACGTTCAGACTTAAAGTTTCTTGCTCTGACGGGATCTATGCTTGCTGGGCAATTGGTTTTCAATTCACACCCCCTCCCACCCCCTCTCCACCTCCACCGTCCTCCATTTCCTCCCCAAACGACCTTCGTATTTTCTTTACCCACTTCCCCCCCCCCTCCTCAAACCCAACCCGACCTTCCTCGCATACTTCACTCTCGAGCTCCAAAGTACACGTACAATGTATACAGAGGGGTGGCTGGGGTTGGGGGCAAGAGAAGGTATACAGTAAGTAAGTATACTACATCATTGTTGTGATTCTAAACTCTTAAAGATGATGATTTGTGGAATGTGTGAATACAAACAGCAAACAGTTTGAGTATCCGGGCATTGAAGGCTGGGTTTGTTATTACCTAATGCAATTTTCATTTGTTTGTACATTAAGCGCAATACGCATTATGATTGTACGCTGTTTCTTTTTTTTTCTTCTTAATTGTATAAAACCTCCCTCGCTCCCCCCACTGCATATTGCACACAAAGAAAATACCCACACAGAGTGAACTCTATTGATGAAGGAAAAGAAAGATTTCGATCCTTTATAATCTGATCAGAACACTGAATTCGTAATTTTTACAACTTTTTCAGAAAAAAACTCAATATGTATTATAAAAACAAAACAATTTGTATAGGCCGATTTTCGAGATTGTTCCCACTTTCACAGACCAACAGACCTGTCATTTCTGTCTGATGTCAATTCATTTCAGAAGTTCAAAAATATATTGTTCCGTTCTTACTCGATTATCTTTTACTTCATTCATTGTATTGCTATTCCCGGTTTTTTTATTTTATTAAGTAGCCTCTTGTTTTGACAACGGATTAAAAAGAAAGACATTATTCAAAA